GAGTATTGGAAATGTATTGCTTGACTTCACCGGTGGAAGCTTCAGCCTTCTCCAGATGTTTTTGCAGTCATACAACAACGGTAAGGCTGGAACTGAAGTGGTGTAAGGGCCTTTCTTAAGAGGTTGGGAGAATCCTGCTACAAAGCAGGTATAAACCAGTAGGTTATCTTGGGAGAATGATGTTTGTGCTATAGTATGGGTAGATTTTTGTATATAAGAATAAAGAATCTCTTCCTATTCCTTCCAAACAGAAAATGAAATAGCTATTTTGTAGAAACCATAGGAACAGTTATTAATTAGCTTTGCAAAACATGCGCACTACAGTCAGTCTTAAGGTGTGTCTAAGCAGTGCAGGTAATAAACATGAAATTCTCTAACATGCATGACATAACCTTGTAGTCTTGAGACAAGACTACACTTGAGGGAGTTGGTTTTAACTTTCTAATTTTGTGTTTGACAGATCAGTGGAAGTTAATCTTTGGAGATCCAACCAAGTTTGGCCTGGGTGTCTTCTCCATCATCTTTGATATTGTTTTTATTGTCCAACACTACTGCCTTTATAGGAGACAAGGGTATGAACCTTGTGAATAACATCACTTCTGAAGAAAAGCTTTAAATTGAACTTGCTTCTACCCTGGCTGAAGACTTTCAAGATGCCTACTGACAGTTCTGATCTGTTTATACTTTGATCCTCTCTGCTGTGGAATACAAACTGTTGCCTTGCAAAATGCCAGATGCCTTAATGGACAGCAAGCTATCTTGACACTGCTTGCAAATGGAAGACTCGTGCCTGTTGAAGCTGCAACGACAGCTTAGTGGGAGCTGTCCAAGCAACACATGGCTCTTCTTCCATTAGCAACAGCGAAGAGAAAGACCAGACTGATATCTGACTGGAAGCGATGCACAGAGAGCCAAGTTCTAGCTCCCAAAACTCTGAGATCATGTTTAAGCAACCACTTAATATCTCAATGTAATGACTGAAGACTCTGTGGATGTAAGTGCTGCTGCTGCCTCCTCATGGACAGATCACCACCACTCAGGTTGGCTGTTAACATCTGTAGTGGTACATAAAAGAATGAGGGTGGTAGTTCAGGTTCTAATATTTATGTATTTACTCTTTTAAAAATACTGAAAAGCAGAAACTGTGTTCTTGTTTCACTGAAAGCTCTTTCAAAGGTGCTGAAACAACTGGTGTACTTAATTCATTTTCCTTGAATCCTAAATGGTTAAAGGCTTAGCAAAGTCTTTAATAAGTGGATCATGTTAACAGACCCATAATTAAGTATATGGTTTTGTTCCTGGGCAACTTTACAACTACATGTTCTGTGTTCCAGGTAGAGATCAAGGTCTTAAATTATGTTTAAGTATTACACCCTTTAAAAGAACTAGAAGGGAATCGATGCATTTGTACTTTGAACAGTATTTGTCAGCTCAAAAGCTAATGTGTCTTATGAGATGTCAACTGAAGGAAGACTAGGACCCCTTCTCTCCCATGCTGAAGTCTTAGTGAGGTTGTGACAGGTCACTAACACTACAACCACCCACCAGTGAAATCAGACCTTACTAATCTCAGGCTGCATTGTGCTGATGTAGGCCACAATCCACTCTGAGCCAGACAAAAAGATCTCAGATGGGGGCATTCAAGAAATGTGGCATCCTTAAATGTAAGGACAAACAGCTCAGGAAATCCAACTTTGTTTTATTGTGTGTAAAATCAAGTGAAATAGCAGTACAAATAGCAGTACAAATAGCAGTGTATCTTTATAGTAACAAAAATAACTTCCACCTTGAAAGCCTTAAAACTTACTACTGAATTCTTAACTTATAATATTCAAAAGCAGTATTGTAGTAATTCCATAGATATAAAAATGGTAAATGGGCATCTGCTGGTGTGTACAGAACAGTCTGAGATGCATTAATCACAACATATGCACATGGCACAGCAGTAATAAGTTAGTCTTACACCTCCTCATGCTCTATTTACAACAGCTTACCTGAAGACTGCTTAAGGAAGGTACAGATATGTATAAATCAACTGAAGGGGATTAAGAACTTCAGTTTTCAGATAACAGTAAAGCTAGCTGGTTAACAAGCCACCAGGATGCTAGAAAATTATCTTAGTGTTGCAGCAAGAGCCTTAAATCCTGTGGCATGCTGATTTAAACAACTTGGTATCTTACCAGAAGTTTAAATTTGGTCAGGAGGCACTTTTACATGTTATTGGCACATTAATCTCTTCTATCCAATAAATCAGTGATTTAATCAGTATTCTAGAAGACAGACCAAAATCCACCTGTCCCCGTTTCAAGTCTGACAGAAGTGGAATGAAGAACTGAAGACTCTTAACACAACAAGCAGCTCTCTTGGTTAAGTTCAGCAACAATCTATGATTCTATAGTCCTTTCATTTAAACTTGATTGATTTCATGTTACAAATTACTTGGGAACAAGGAGAATTAAGATTTTATGGCGACAGTGAATTTGAACTGTAGTGTCTATGAACCTGTAGTGTACTTCACAGGCATTAATTTAACACTCCTGTGTAACTTAGCTGTTTCTTGTCTGAAGAGGCTGCTTTGTGCAGGGAGTCTGCAGTAAACCATAATGCCCCAAACCCTCTGACATGCTTTGCCTAGCTAGCACACAGGGTGGAATTAGTACAGTGCTCCTCCCCACAGCAGTAAGCAACTCTTAATTCTGGCATTTTAATCTGGTAGCACAGAGGGGACAGGACAGCTCACTTCTAAAAGCTTAAGCACAGCAGACCCTCTTATCTGCCATAGCAGAAGCCACATTTCCTCTTAAAATAGGAGCCTTTTGTGCTTCAAAGGAATCCTTTTGCAGTTAAGGCTTTTCCAGTTGCTTCCTTAGATAACTAGGGTTTGTCCCGGTCCTCCTAAAAGCCACAACCTGCAGGGTAGACTTTTAGAGAAGCACTCTGCTGAGGGGAACAGAATTCTACTACTGCCAGTTACACCAGAAGAAGGAAAAATAAAAATAAAACTCATGTCTACCAGAGTTAGGAACATGCTCTCCTTCCAGCCAACCTGTTTCAGCCTAGGATTTGCTTTTTTGTTTGAGTTCAGTCTATTCATCTCCCTCCCCAACCCTTCCCCAACTCAGTGACTGATTAAGACATCAAGGATTGTTGTACAGCCTTTTGCAGAGATTGCCTGGTCACCAGCAGCCGTACCACTTCTTCATTCCTTTTTGTCAGCCTCTTCCTTGCTTGGTCATGGGTCACCATTGTCATATCCCAGCCATTCACCTGGGAAAAATGCCTAAAATGAGGCAGGTGTGTGGACTTAGAGGTGTCCTGTAACTGTTCAATCAGAACTATGTAGTAGATACACTTGTGCCACTTATCAGCTTATTTATAAGCCTCACAAACTGTCCCAGAAAGCACCCAGAAGACAGCATTTCCCCCAGCAGACACTTACTTGCAGTGTACATCTAATGCTGTGTTAGTACTTGTCTTGTTGGTGTTTACCTGCATGATCTTATCTCCAATCTGGAGTCCTGCAACTTCTGCTGGGCCTCCTTCTGTCACCCTTGTTACATAGATACCCTAGGAAAAAAATAATGAAGTGTTCACTTACTAAATAAAGGACCATTAAATACTTAAGAGCTATTCAAAAGCTGGAGAGGGATTTCTGACAAGGGCCTGTAGGGACAGGACAAGGGGAATGGCTTTAACCTGCAAGAGGGGAAATTGAGATGAGCTCTTAGGCAGAAGTTCTTCCCTGTGAGGGTGCTGAGGCGCTGGCACAGGGTGCCCAGAGAAGCTGTGGCTGCCCCATCCCTGGCAGTGTTCAAGGCCAGATTGGACACAGGGGCTTGGAGCAACCTGCTCTAGTGAAAGGTGTCCCTGCCCGTGGCAGGGGGTTGGAACTGGAGGAGCTTTAAGGTCCCTTCCAACTGAAACCACTCTGTGGTTCTATGATTCTACAAACACACTTTGTTGTATATTACAGGATCTAATAGGTTTATGCAATGCTGGAAAACAGAAACGGTGGAGAGCTAACAAACCAGACTTGGTCTGCAAATGATAACATGGTAACAGAGTAACTTTAATAGTCAGCTATGCCAGAAGACAGAATACAGATGCCACCTGAGGTAGCTGGCTGAGTTGGACATACTCAGCCTTTTGCAGAGATAGTGGCTGTGGAAAACAAAGAGCATCTGACCTTGTCAGTCTTGTCTTCAGAGAAAGGATTCTGAGTAGGATCCTGATCAATGCCACCTCCAATACTGAACCCCAGAATCAAATTGTCACCTTGACGGAGCTTATGTATTTCAATTCTTTGCTGAAAAGAGAAAAATAGCTGAGTGTTGTGATGAAGAAGAAATCTGTTGACAGCAGTTGGTTCTGAGCTGTTCTAAGCCCTGCCACAGAACAGGATGGGAAACCACTTACAAACAGCCCAAGGGTGCTCCTGCCACCATACAGCTACACTCCTTAACTACTCAGAGCTTTAGATACAAGGGAAAACACTAGAAACAGAGCAGGTCTCTTGGAACATGAGTCATGCCTTGCCAACCAGCAGTTAGTCACAGCAAGACTCATCTTGCTCTTTTGCCCACATGCCCCTTGTTCCTGCCTATCAGTGAAACAACAGCCTATTATTAGGATGGTTCTTTTTCAAGATAACTTATCAACACACTTGTAATCCAGAGGCAGGTTCCTTGCTGTGTGTGATGATCACAGGCATCCAACAAGCTTCATGTGTTATCCAAGTACCATATAAGCAGGTATCCCTGCTCGTTATGGGGGGTGGACTAGGTGACCTTCAGAGGTCCTTTCCTCCCCAAACCACTCTCAAGCAGCCCTGTCGGGCACCGAGCTGCCCAGGACATTGCACTCAGGCTCTCGGCCACACCGGGGTGGTTTCCTCACCCTCAGTTCAGCGGGGAGCAGTGCAGCACGCACAGCTGCGGAGCCCCTCTCTCACACTTTTCTTAATTAGAGCAATTAACACACTTCAGAAGCTCCACTTCTCCCCCTGCCCAGACAAAGC